TTCTTTAGTTCATCTCATGCCCAATCTGCAAGCCAAAAGCTCACCCCTTGTTAGCTGCCTGTGACTTTTCATGCAATATAAACACAGCAAAGACAAATGCTTATAAAGTTGCGAAGAATGTGGAAATAAGCTGCTGTGGTTATTTGAAGGCTCTATTCCAACATTTGATAAGAGGAGACAAGGAACATCATGTGCAACCCTGTTCATGGTAAGGCCAAACATCAAATGAGAAAATAAGAATAATTATAAGCAACTGACTAAGCAGACACAACCTCTTCTGAGACACTATACCAAGATTTACAGAGAGGTATTAAGAGGAACCACAAATAAGAACTGTCTGTCCTCACTGTTCACATTCAAGCCAGAGACTCTAAAAATGAAGGAGTGTAAACCACTACACCATGGTACTTTATTTATGCCAAGAATATAGTAATAAATGGGTAAAAATAATCCTACATGAACAGATAACAAGGCCAGAAAACATAACAGGTTTATAATAAAGGTCAGACACCATATCATAAAAATTACCAACCTCGTGTGCAGAAACATTTGAACTAAGGAAGTACTCCACTTCAGCATGCAAAGATGTCACTTTCTCAGCAATCTGTTGGCCTTCTTGGAGTGCTGATGTGGCATAATCACCTGTAACAGCTACCAGGCTACGTGTTCCACTGCCTGCATTCTTCATCCCCACAATACAGAAATCCCTGATGTCTGCTGTATTCAATACATGTGTACCACAACATGCTTCTCTACAATAAATTAAATTACAGTGCTATTAAATACTATCTGACACCAGGCAGTCAACAGCTATCTTCAGACTCTCCACCGTGAAACCTCAAATTCTACCCATAGGGTATGTTATGCTCAAATGTTTTTTCTGGTCATAACACTATCTTTTCGAGTATTAAATACTATTTATTAGATATACCGCAAGAGTTTATTGTCACTTGGCCTCAAGTTCAAAAATGCTTCAAGTGTAAATTTTTTATACCACCCTTATCATTTGAAAGGACTTCATATTTACTTCTTGTCTTTCTGTAACACTTTTGGAGAGTTAACAAAATTCCTGATACTTTGAGAGATTGTATGATATGCTATAATATATTACGCTCCTCGGAGTCATGTTTTAACATGACACAATATAAAACAGTCCTTTCATTGGTGGTGTATGCATATGTCTATGAAATAACATGCTAAAATTTGATGTTAAAGTCTGTCTCAACAGGGTCATGAGAGGGTTAATGTAGAGAAAAAAAATAGTTACAACCTGATCCATTGCTGGAAAACCTGTCACACTCTACTTTTGTTTAGTGATGTTAGCTGTTGCAGGGGCCATTTCTGTGAATGCCTGTTTACTGGTGCTATTTTTAGTGGCCTTGTCTGTTACTGACACAAATTCAATGAGTGGCCTGACCTATCATTAGGTTTCGTTGTATTTGGCCGAGTATTCTGAATTCAAATATTTTCTTAATGTATTCTTTCTATCAGATTTTGCCTATGTTATTATCTTAAATCTCTTCCACTCGTTCGTTTCTTAATAAACTTATCAATATAAACAAAGAAGCAGTCACGTTAAATACTAACCTTGATGTAAATAATCCATCAGCTTCAACTTCTATAATGTATATTTTTTCCTCAGGGTACACTTCACCAGGTACAAGGGTCACATTCTCTAGAGAGAAGAGCTCATCAGCTGACACGGTGTACCGCTTCACAGGTGTGGCTGCATGCACACACCTCTGCACCATCTCTTCCAGCTGCTCCTACGTGCAGAATTCATTTCTGTTAAATCTGTCCTCAGTCTACAAATCATACATATATTGGGATGTCCAGGCACTAAAAACGTCATTTTAAGGACTAAAAATAGATACCATGTTTTCAAAAAAGGCACTTACAAAATGTACTGTATGTAATGATGACTGAATTGACATAAGACAGCAAAGGAAAATGTTTAATTACTTTGCAATTAATAATTTTTTTTCCAAGTTTAACTGCAATGCAAATTATAAGAATCATTTGGAGATTGTGGTTACATAATTAAACTGCAGATTCTAATTTGTCAACAGTATATACAATGAAAAAACAAACTAAAATATTCTTAACTACCATTTACTACAGACAATTTTCTGTGAAACAAGCATTTATAATCATAAAAAGTTAAAATAACTATTAACATGTAAAGGCATATTAGGAACTATAAAGTTAAACCATATATTAATACACCTAATCTTATATCTCTCAAAGTTATGTGCATACATTATTACACTTGTAGCATGACAGGGTTAAAAAAACTCATATGCTTTTGCCTGTGAGAGTTTACTTGTCATAATTAAAAACTTTAATGCATGCTGCTTTCAAAATAATTTCCATCTACTATCAAGTATTCCTGCCAGCAGTCACATCAATGCTGGAAGCACTCCTGCAGTCCCTCTTTTTCAAGCCCCTTATGTGCCAACATTATATTCTTTTTCCCCTCTTCTTAGGACTGGAACCAGAGTGATACCATTTTGGTCAGATACTCTGTATAAAAAGGGACTGATGAGATGATTCTTGAAACAGCTAGTTCTTAAATTCTCAAAGATGAGGGAATTTATGCTAGACAGCTTTTTGCAGATAACAAAGAATGTATCTGGTATGTGGTCTTCTGAAACAAACTTGTGATGAACACCACTCTGGCTACTAAAGAACATTTCCAGCATCATTATCTTCCACTTAAACCAGCCTCCACAAACTGTCCAGTTTCCCAAGTGATGGTCACTTCAGAAACACATGACTTTGTCCTCATAAGCTTTACCCTGATCTTTGGTTTCTGAGAATTTCCTACCCAGATGTATACAAAACATAAAGTTCACTTGCTCTTCAAATTGCAACATCCTGTGTAATGAATTGTGAAAATAACAAAATTCATCAAACTGAACAGATTATGGTGCCTTTCATGCTCTTTGCACAGTGACAGAGTGTGCACACCAGAATGGACCTCTG